GAAGGAGCGAAAGGGGTCGGTGAATAAGGAAGTGTCATGAGGACAACGGGCAGGAAAAAAAGGGGGTGGTCCTGCACCACCAGAAAATTGTGATGCCGATCTAGAACCACAACAGGAAAGAACTGGTTTGGGTGCCAAATCAGACAAATACGACTCTGAGAAACAGTAAACAAAAGCAGCCCCTGAAACACATTCAAAGGAGTAAGGCACAACCATCTATTACCACACAGGTGGCCGATCGCTTAGGGAAGGCATGCCCGAAGCAGCAGGTCTTTACCTGCTTGCAGAAGGACAGCAAAGATGGGGTCCAGGTCGGCCTCCAGTGGGAGGGAGTTCCAGAGATTGGCCGCAGCCACAGAGAAGCTCCTCTCCCATGTCTGCACCAGATGCATCTGGGAGGGTTCGTACAACTGAGAGAAAGGCCTCCTTTAAAGATGTTGAGACTTGTGGAGGTTCCTAAACAGGGATGTGGTTCCTGAGATAGCCTGGACCCAAGGCATTTAGGGTTTGATAGGTTAAACTCAACACTTTGAATTCTGCCGAGCATTCAGTGGAGCTGCTGTAACCAGTGTGTGTGTGTGTGTGTGTGTGTGTGTGTGTGTGTGTGTGTGTGTTGTGAGATCTATTGTGACCAGCTTCTGTTGGCAATCTGGCTACAGCATCTTGGTGACGTTTCCTGACACTTTCCATCGGCAGCCCCTCATAGAGTGTGTTACAGTAATCCAGCCAGGATGTAACTAAGATGTGTACCACTGTTGTTCCCGAGGACTGTGTAGTTTCAGCCATACTGTGACACCTGAGATGATAATGGGAACACAAAATTGGCTTTTCTGATGCTTTTTCTTGAAGAAAGCCACATCAAAGCCTAGGGTTTTGGAGCTGTCTGCAATTATTGTAATTTCACCTCCCCATTTAGCTGTCCATTTCATTCTTTAGTTCATCAGTGCCTGACAATAAACACCTTATGAATAAGTGAAGTAGGAATGCTAATAAAACATCTAGTATATCACACCCAAGAAACTAATTGCTGGAAAATCTACTGCAGGGAATAATTTGATTGTGGACAGCTGGAAGGCCTGGATATGTAAATAGCTGGGCTTCTGTATATTGGGTCAACAATGATATGCCCTGAGTATAATCTTCCCCAACCTAGTTAATCCTATGGCCCAGAGACAATAAATAGGAAGATGATGGTGGGCAACTTTGTTTATGAAAATGCAGACCATTCTAGTTTGTTTGCTTTCCGGGATCTCCAGGCCATCCTTTTAGCGTATAAAAACCAAAGAAGGTGATCCAATTTATGTGGCCGCTCTGCAAGAGAGCAGCTCTCTGTGATGACTCTCTGGCTGGGGTGCTCATGCCTTCCGTGTAATTTTCAGAGTGGCCATGTTGAGCTGTTCTGAAGGAAATCAACCCGGAGTGCTCCCTGGAAGAACAGATCCTGAAGCTGAGGCTCCAATACTTTGGCCATCTCATGAGAAGAGAAGACTCCTTGAAAATGACCTTGATGTTGGCAAAGTGTGAAGGAAAGAGGAGAAGGGGACAACAGAGGATGAGATGGTTGGACAGTGTCACAGAAGCGACCAACATGAATCTGACCCAACTCCGGGAGGCAGTGGAAGACAGGAGGGCCTGGCGTGCTCTGGTCCATGGGGGTCACGAAGAGTCGGACATGATTTAATGACTAAACAACAACAAAAATGTTGAGCTATAGTTCTGGCATTTCCTCTTGGGGCTTGGGGGTCTCCAGCTTCTGATTCTGAGCTCTACTTAGTCTTGGCCTGACCGGTTTCGTGGTCAAACCAGTCCGTGGGGCCCACATACACGCCTTAGCAAAGAAGAGACTCTGCAGGCATGTTGTACGACCCGAAGCAATATTTACATATATATGAAAATGTTGCTTTGGATATTATATATATTGGGACCCACTGAGGTTTTCAGACTTTTGGACTGAATATTTTGGACTGAATTCCTTAAAACCTTCTGCCACTCTGTGTTGACAGTAGGGGGCTAGGAGGACCAAAAACCTAACATCCTATCTTGTAGCTTCCTTTAGCTCCTTCCTTCTGGAGGTGGTGGTTCAAAATAACAACCTTCCAAGCATTGAGGTATTATTATTTTTTCTTCTTCTCTGTCATCTTCTCATCAATGGAATGATGGCCATGCAGTGGCATTATCTCACTGAGTACCATTGGTTTGCAGAACTGTGGGAGAAGCCGGCAATTTTTTAAAAATATTGCATGAGGAATCTATGTCCAACTTTAAGAAGCTGCCATCTAAGCTTTGGCCCGAGACTTCAGGGCTCCACCTATTCTCTTGCGTTATTCCTAGCTGATTTACTGTAACACGCTCTTATGTGGGGCTCCCTCTGGAAAGTGTTCGGAAACATCAGTGGGTCCAAAACATAGCAGTCAGATTGCTCACTGGGGCTGAACACACAGGGGTCACCGGACCCTCTCGTTACAACAGCTCCACTGGCTGGCGATCCATTTCCAGGCTGAATTCAAGGTGCTGGTTCTATAAAGCCCTAAACAGCTTGGGTCCAAGCTATCTCAAGGACCATGTCCCTTTATAAGCCTGCCCAGGTATCAAAATAATCAGGGGAGGCCTTCCTCTGGGTCCCACCATCTTCACAGATATGTTTGATGGAGACACAGGACAAGGACTTATCTGTGGCTGCTCCTAGCCTCTGGAACTCGCTGCCACTGGAGGCCAGGCTGGCCCCATCTTTGCTGTCCTTCCGCAAGCAGGCAAAGACCGGCCTCTTCAGGCAAGCTTTCCCTGAATGATGGGCTGCCTGGGTGCAATTTTTTAAAAATTGATTGTTGTACTTTGCTGCTTTGAATGAGTTTTGTGTTGTTTTGGTTTACATTTGTGTTTGTGTGTGTGGTATTTGTTTGATCCTTTTTAGTATTTGTATACTCACTGTTCTTAGCTTTAAATATTGTATTTTAATGATGTCAGCTGCCTTGGGTCCTTCGGGAGGAAAAAAGCGAGGTAAAAATATTTCTAATAGCGATAAATGAAACATACCCGTTTCTCCTTTTTTCCTCTTCTGTGGGACACTTCCGATAAAGTCTCCTAAACGTTGACTGTGCTCACTTCTATACATCATGCTTTTCTCTGACAGTGTTATTATGACACTCTCCCACTGTGGCATGAGGTTCTTCTCTGAAGGTCTAATTGACCCTGACATATTTTTAGAAGCTGTCACATTTCATCTTGAAAATGGACAGTAGCGCAGGGTTCAACTTCTGCTTGATGCATAGAGGCCATGGAGGCGGGCGCAAGATGAGACAATTAGCACAGACATCCATGGGCATAAGAGGGGACCTCCAGAAAGGACTACCTCTCACCAATTCTTTCAAAATCTCAATACACTGTCCGAATGTAACAGGTCTTCCCATGTGGTGAGTGCACTTTAGGCAGCACTCATTATTATAATATATATAACCTGTCTGCTGTGTGGGCAGTGCAGAATACATTGCTGAGTAACAAATTTTTTGGTATGATACAACTCATAAATGTACATCGTGTGATAGCCCCAAATTATACCGGGGTTTGTGAACTCGTAGAATTTCACGCTCGCAAATCTAGAAAGAGGGATAACGGAAACTTCGTTTTAGGCCTTTGGACTGGACGTCCAACGTGTGAGATAGATTCCATAGAGTGGTAAGCAGGGAGAGCACCAGGTGTCAACACTTGGCAAAGGTCCGCACGCAAGCTCACAAGTCAATAACTTTGAAAAGTTGGGTTGCAAACTCGGAAATGTTAGCTAAAAATCTCACATCGGTGTCGAAGTAGAGTTTAGGAGATGTAGTAACGGAAGTAAGGAGCACATCGCTACAGCGGGTGGTGTAGGCTAGTAGTTCTCCAACCTGGGGTCCCCAGATGTTCTTGGACTGCAATTTCCAGAAATCCTGGCCAGCACAGCAAGTGGTGAAGGCTTGTGGGAACTGCAGTCATCTTAGGGACCCCACTGGTGTCGACCATGTAACAATAAAGTTGCAGTGTTATTCCTTTAAATATTGTGTACCCTACAAACATGGGGCGTGCTGGGGTCAAATGCCTCATCGTGTGACAGATGATTGCCCAACCGAGGTGCACCCCAGTTAGCCACTGTAGCAAGTTAGGCATATCTTAGGTGGGCACCCGTGGGATTCCAGACGTCGTTCGTAATTGTTCAGCAGGAAATTTTGAAAGATGCCGGCATTGTAGGTTTAGTTCCATATGAAATCATCATCATCTTAGAACTGCATATGTCGTCTGTTCCGTCCGTGTAGAGGTGTGAGAGTTAAACAACCTCACACCTCTGTTTCATGGATCTCTGCTGATGAGTTAGCATGGCTTTTTATTGGCAATTTTTCATTCTAGTTTTTTGTGGAATCAATAAATAAGCTAAAGGAGACCTGAAACATCCTGATTCCTGAGTATTAAAAGACTAGCACATTTCATTTGGCAATAAGTTCTCCATCCCGCATTATCTGATCGCTGGCAGAAATGTAACACTCACAATGGTTCTGGAAGTGAAAAGGGTATCATCAGGTGCAGTTCTTAGCAGCTGCCCTTCAACCACCACTGAGGGGTGAAAAGGACATTTTAGCGTTGATATGGCATATCCACGAATGGTCCACATCCTTCAAAACATGGTCTCGGAAACCCTTGTGGATCTTCATGACCTTCTTTTCTTTTCAATTGCTTTGAGGATGACTGGGCTTACGGTTGCCACAAGACCGTATTATTCATATGGTTGACTAAGGCAAGGGACTAGGAGCCTGCGAGGTTTTTATTTTTTTATTTTTATTTTTATGCAAAGGCAAAAGATTGCTGAGATGAAAGATCGACATGTCGGAGGGGTTCCAAAGACCTGAAAGCTGAAGGGCCCAGCCATGGATCAAGATGGTCCTGGTTTGCTAAATCGGTGGATCCAGAGTGCTTCCCTGTAACTCATTTTTGGTTTGTTTGTTTGTTTACATCATGATTCTCTCTCTTTTTTGACAGTGACATCTCTGGAAAGGAGCCTTAAGTCCCTTGGGACACCCAACGACACACCCGAACTGCGTGACACACTGTGAGTGTTTTTTTTTTAAGGGAATGTACATACTGGGCACCTTCCACCTCTTACCCTCTATTCTCTGTGGTGTGTGTTCTGTCTACATGCCGTTCTCTTCTCTTCAGTGGGCCAGAATCCTACTACTGGTTTGCACTTGCGTAGGGAAAATCCTGGAAGTCTTGACCCCAAGTCGCAGCTTATTAACAAGGTGCTGGTTTCTTTCCTGCATGCGTTTTCTGTGGCTCTAATCATGGAAAATCCTAGAAATGCACACGCCTTCCTCGGTGGGTTCATCTTTAGTAAGAGAGATGATGAAAAAGGTCAAATGAATTACAGGCATTTATTTCTCCATTGTGGTCTCACTCTGGAGCATTCCGTGGCATCAAAAAAAGAGAAATCAATGTCTGCAATTCATTTGAACTTTTCCATCATTGACCCCTCCCAAACTGGGCACCTATTTCTCCTTCAACACCCCCATGATTTAGGAAGTTTTTATGGAGTTGTGGTGAAATATTTGGTTGCTTGATACCTTTTATTATTTATTACCGTTTATTACATTTTAAAGTGAAAGTTTAATGACATAGTAAAATGGCCACAGGTTTTATACATCCCTCTGCATCCCAAAGGTCACATGACCAAAAGAGAAGGGAAAGAGGTCTTTCAGAAAATGGCTGGGAAGTTTGTCTGAAGTTGTGTTTTCAGCCACCATTTACACATGGTCTGATGTTGTTGATGAATTCATAAAGGACGAGGGGGAAGTGAGGTATGAGAAGTTTTCCAAAAGATTTAACCACAAATTTCATACCTTGTCTGAAATGTCATCATATCTATAAACTGGCTTGGAGATCATGAGAAACTCTGACACTGACGTCGCAGAAGTAACTAGTTACAAGACACAGCATGCAATTAGTCACTTTGCCCAATAGCAAAGATATGACTACCAATAATGACCTTACAGCATATAATGTTTGTAAGTTAACAACAGACATATATCTATCCCAATTTTTTTTTTGATAGAGTAAGTGTAATTTGGGACGTGGTGGTGCTGTGGGTTAAATCACAGAAGCCTCTGTGCTGCAAGGTCGGAAAACCAGCAGTCGTAAGATCGAATCCATGTGACGAAGTGAGCTCCCGTCACTTGTCCCAGCTCCTGCCAACCTAGCCGTTCGAAAGCATTGAAATGCGAGTCAATAAATAGGGACCACCTCGGTGGGAGGGTAATGGCGTTCCATATCTAGTCGCGCTGGCCATGTGACCACGGAACTTTGTCTTTGGACAAACGCTGGCTCTACAGGTTGGAAACGAGTCGGCCACGACTTGACAAATTGTCAAGGGGAACCTTTACCTTTACCTTTAAGTGTAACTTGTGTATTTATGGTGGATCTGTGTGTTTTTTAATACTACGCTTGGTTTGTGTGTACAGACTCTCAAACATTTTCAGCAGGAATAACTGTTTAGATACTTTGGAGAAACATTCAATGAAAGGGTTGCTTTTTATCTGTCTTAAAACCCAAGTCAAAACCAAGAAACTATTAGTGAACCCACATTTCTATTTGACACGTCCTACTTCTAACAGATTTTACTTTCTTGGGCTCCAGGATCACTGCAGATGATGACAGCAGCCCCAAAATTAAAAGACACCTGCTTCTTGGGAGGAAAGCGATGACAAACCTAGACAGCATCTTAAAAAGCAGAGTTGGACACAACTTAACGACTAAACAACAACAACAAAAACCTCTGTACTTCTTTGACTCATCAGACCAAAGCACAAAGGTCTTTTGCACTGCCCACTCATCCACATTTCCAGTGCAGTCCAGGACTCAGAAAGGACATGCAACTGTCTCTATGTCAGGGAACATTATGTTGCAAAAAGGTGTATGTGGGAGGAAATTGCATACAGAAAAAGTAACCCTTAGGAAAGTATGCATATATTAGGGAAAGCTAAAGTTATGTCCATAAATGTAAATGTATTTATATGCCAAGGAAAGTTGCTTAAAGCAGATTTAAGGGAAAGTTGTGTATAAATCCAAATTTAAGTTCCCCTATATTAAAAATGATATTCACAGAATATTGCCGAAATTGAGGTTATGGAGATTAGAAACTGAATGCATTCAAAACAGATACAGACAGGTTATAAAATATTTCATCTGTTTCTGGCTCAAAGTGTAAGCAACTGCTTTACAAACCCAACCTGATGTGGATCAAGAATTGATTAAGGAACTAACCCCATGGATTGCTGCCTTGTTGTGGTGAAGGGGCTTGAGTGATTCCGAGAAGCTGTGGGCTATGCTGTGCAGGGACACCCAAGACAGAGAGGTCATAGTGGACTAAATGCGATCCAGCTGGAGCAGGAACTGGAAAGCCACTCCAGTATCTTTGCCGAGAATACCCCATGATCAGAAACAAAAGGCTAAAAGATATGAGGCTGGAAGATGGGCCCCTCAGGTAGGAAGGCATCCAGCATCCTACTGAGGAAGAGCAGAGGACGACAAGTAGCTCCAGAGCTAATGAAGTGGTTGGGCCAAAGCTGAAAGAACACTCAGCTGTGGACGTCCTACTGAAGAAGAGCAGAGGATGACAAGTAGCTCCACAGCTAATGAATTGGTTGGGCCAAAGCCGAAAGGATGCTCAGCTGTGGACGTGCCTGGAAGCGAAAGGAAAGTCCGATGCTACGAAAAAAAAAATACTGCAGAGGAACCTGGAATGTTCCTTGACAGAGGCTAGACATGATGATCTACAGGAGCCCTTCCAGCTCTGCAGTTTAAGATTAAGATGACAGAGCAGAATCATATCTGAACTGCTGGATAATTCAGTGGTTCGATTTGCTGCTGTGCTTCCTTTACAGGGGCTGGAAACAAAGATCCATAGGGTCCCTCTCAGCTCTGCAGTTCTAAGGTTATTTTTATTATATTATTGCATTCAGTAAAGGATGCAACAAGCAATGATTAATTATCCCCCTAATTTAAATAGCTCCAGGCTAGACCACCGAAATAAATAACAATGTATATGGTCCCCTTCAACATTTGAAACCGAGATGGGAAAAGGCTTACATTTACCTTAAAAAAAATCCATGCTGTGCCAACAAATTCCACGACTTAAATTGTCAAGGGTTATTTTCTGTTTAATCATCGGCAGCAATATAAATGTAGCAAAAGGTTTTAAGTGTCAACATATTTAATGGAGGGTAGGATTTCAATAATATTTCTTCGGCTTTTGTTACTCTGCTTGTATAAGCTTTATGCAAGTGATTTCCATAAATATTCTGAAATGGCGTTGGGGTTTTTTTTTGCGTCTGTTAATATCTTAAATCCTTCAAAGTAATACCTTCCCAGTTTAATATCAAAGCTGTTTGGATTAAGTTTATCTAGTTGCAGAGTGTTTATCATGTCTGGTATCAGCTTCTGACATGGAGGACCTCATTGATTTGGCAGGAGGTGGGGAATAGCTATGGATGCAGTATTTACACTTCTAATCTGATCTATTAAAATCCATGAATTGCTCTGGTAGGCAGAGAAAGGCCTTTTTAGTATTGGGTGTAAAATTCAGTAAGAACAATGGCCTGTTCTGTTCATCTGCAGAGCTCTATTGATTGAGTTCTACAAGATGTCGTATATTAGATTTCAAACCTGCGGGATCCATTTTATGTTTTACTTGGGCTCCAAGAGCTACCAGCCAAAGTTGGGCATATAATCATGACTCCAGAATTTGGGATTGGCAGTTTATCATTGTGATTCATCAGCCAATCCTTCTCTTGAAATATGGTATTGGAAAGACACAATTTACCATATTTTCTGTGTATAAGACGCCCCCATGTATAAGACACCGCCACACTTTTCTAACCTAAAATTAAGAAATCTAAGTGGAGCTTAGCAAGTGTAGGAGGAAAGGGATCAAAGCTATCCCACAACTGCATGATCATTTTGATCCATTTTCCCCTCATGCCACAGGATTGCTTTGATCCTTTCCCCCTACACTTGCTAAACCTCATGGACTTAGTAAGCAGAGGGGAAAGCAAGGATCAAAGCCATCCTGCAGTTCTTTAATCCCTGCTTTCCTTTTGCCAAAGCTTAGCGAGTGGAGGGGAAAGCAGGGATCAAAGCCCTGAAGGATCACTTTGATCTCTACTTCCCTCTTCACTTGTTTCTCTCTCTCCTCAGCTTACTTCTGTGTATAAGAAGACCCTCAATTTTTAGCCTAAAGATTTTAGACAAAAGTATAGTCTTATACATGGAAAAATATGGTCTGTTCAAAGATTTTTTCTTGCCCCATTTATTATTAGTCTCTTTCAATGCCAAAGATCAAGGGATGGGTGGACATTGGTAAACCTTTATTTTATATATAAAGAAGTGAAATTGAATTTTTGTTTGTCCTTTCTTGGAAGTAGAATTTGATTTTTGGACTGATAAGGCTCTCGGCATTCAGCCGTACACATTGTAGTGACAAGTTAATGACAAGTTCACAAATAAATGAAGTTCCTTTCCGTGATATGCTGGACTGTCTCCTTCAGAGAGGAACTGACACAGGGGGTCCCTGGTGGATAAAGATTCAGAAATGCCTAGATGAGTGCTACCAGAAACTGCTCCAGATGAAGTGGCTAATCGTTTTGTTAGACAAGACAACTTAAATAACTCATCATCTTGGCAATCAAAGAGGGATGATCGGAGACCTGACACTATCTCAAGACAAGTGGTTTCTGGCTTCTGGCCTGACATAAATCTCCAGGAATAAGCCAGTTCTTGTCTTGAGCCAATGTAAGGATTTCACTAAATATCGGCTTGTTTGGATTAACGCGTCAGCTCCCTGAAGGACTTGGCTGTGCAATTGATGCCTCCTTCTGACAACAACAGGCACTGAGTCTGCATAAATAGAATCTTAAGCAACTTTCTTCCCATGGGCACTTTCCGTTCTGTCAATGAGTCTCTCCGTTCAAAGTGAAACGGCTCAAAATAGCATCTCCAAATGCAGTTGAGCGCTTATACCAGGGAGACGGTGGTGCCCTTCTCTGAATTCCTGAGATA